TCTCTCTCTCTCTCTCTCTCTCTCTCTCTCTCTCTCTCTCTCTCTCTCTCTCTCTCTCTCTCTCTCTCTCTCCCGCGACCGGAGAACTCGACACCTCCTTCCGCCCCGACTCCCCAAGAGCAACCAGTCCCGAGAGCCGTCGCTCCCGCTCTAACTCCTTCTCGAGCTCAGGCGTGAAGCCGGACTCCGCTCGACGCTATGCAGCGAGCACTCTTCCCAAACGCGTGTCCCCAGGACCAAATGCGTGCGTCCATGGACGCCTGCACGATCGCCTCTTTCTGACCCCGTACCGTCGCCGGGCGCTCTTCGTGCGCTAGACGAGTTTACTCCCGAACGTGCGCATTTGTTCTCCTCCTCTCTTTCCCCGCCGCCCTCTCTATTTATACTCTCTGTTCTTCATCAGTTTCTTCTTCAGTCCAACCTCCCGCCCCTGTCTTTGCCATCCGTTTTGATTGGTCTTCCTCCTTTTCCCGAATATTTTTTCTTCCCGCCAACCCTTCAAAATTTTTCCCCACCTCCCGTGCATTTCCTTCCTCCCACACCTCCGGTGATCCATCTTCTCTACCTCCCCACCAATCATAGTTCACTTCTTCTCCTTGGTTGGATCACGGTTGTCCCCTCTCTCTGTCGACTAGCCATGTCGTCATCATCCGCCTGGCGACTGCCTCAACATTGGTTCCTTTCTCTTTCTCTCGGAAGCTATGCGCCCGTCCCCCAGGAAAAAGAGACCGTCGGGATTTGTCTGTTCGCCTTCCTTCGGTCTGGCTCCTCACGCGTATCTGGCGCAAGCTCCGACTCAGGTGCGGTGGCCACTCAAGCCAGTGATTTTCCCCACCCAATTGGCGTAATTCCTTGATTTCGGAATAAGTCGTCTGTTCCCATTCCCTGCCCTGGAGGCGGTTATCAAGAAGTTGCGGGTGCGCTCCCTTTCTTGCTCCTTACGTAACCCGCCCTCCCCGCTTCTGCTGACAATCCTTCTCCTCCCCCATCTTACTAATCCCGTGCTGACTTCTTTCCTCGTTGGATCCAACCAACATTAGGATCCGTCATGCAGCCTACTCGGCGGCCAGCGCCACTCGCCGGCTCCTTACACGGCCCGCCCACAATGCTCGCATTGCAGCCTAGACTCGATGGCCACCTGTTCTCCGATCGCTCGAGAGCGTTGTTGTCATGCCAAGTCTCCCTCCGCGGTTGCTGGCCACGCCTTCGCGCGTTATACCACCTGCCTAGGCTTAGTCCAAGTCCCCAGCTTAAGGAAATCACCACCTCCCCGCGACTCGACCACCCCCTTCGCACAATCCGATCCTCTGCATCTCAACCCAGGTTTGGTCGAACCAAGTCCCGCTGAGCACGACTGAAATGGTCCGGCGTCGCTCCCACTTGAAGACCTGGTCTCTTACCACTCCCCTTGGGTCTTCGACTGGTTCCTTCGGATCCACCCCGAAGTCCAACACCAGTCCCTGATCCCTTGGTCTCAGCACCGAAAGCCCAGATCTCCAGAATCCGCTTGTGACCAAGGTCAGGCCCGCTATTTCGACCTACTGAAGGATTAGTACGAGGACCCGGATGCCCGGGGTCATACACAAAACAGCATACCCATACGCATGCATATGCCAAAACTAGACAAAACAGCAAAAAAAAGGAAAAAATGTATTCATTTTAAAGAAAGAAAGCCTTCGGCTGGTAGACAGCCGCCCGACAACCAGCCCACACCCTATTTCTCGCCGTCCCCGACGAGTCTCTTTCGTGACCCCTCTTTTTTCAACCGTTGCCCCTCGCCCAATGTTTACCCATGAAAAGCTTCTCTCGTTTCATCCCATTTCCCCGGTTAGATTACGTTGTCCTTTCTTTTACCAGACTTGACCCTATTGTTTTGTCACGACGCCATCCATGACCCACGACACATCCCTACCCTATGACACTGGTCTATGGTACAATATCCTCTCAGGATTACCACTCATTGCCCCTTACGAAACCCGTTTCTCAAACTATGGTACATTATGGTACAACTTTCCCTTCGACATATCTCCTTTCCTGGAACACGTTTTCCCAACTATGGTGCACAATCCTCCTCCCCTTTTTACGCCCGCCTCTGTTTTCTCATCCTCCTCTCGCGCCTCTCTCTCTTCCGTTTTCTCTTCTCTCTCTCACGTTTGAGTCTCATGGACTTTCTTCACGCATTCCTCCTTTCGTTCAAGTTGCGTTTCCTCAATCGGTCAGTGTCTTTGTCATCCTCCCTCGGTCATTTTTTCTTCCTAGGGGTCTTTGGTAGGGCAGTTTTTCGAACCTTATACCCTTTCTTTGGGGGTCGAGAAGAGGTTCCTTGTTTGGAGGTCTCCCCTCTTTCATGGGTTACGCTCACCTCTGTGTCACTAGCCTCTTTTCCTTTCCAACAGAAAAATTCCCACGAGAAATGAAAGTCGAAAAAACATTCCATTAAAAAACATTCCTTCATATTTCTAAATTATCATTCCAATGTTCATCCAATTCTAAAATTTCTAGTTTTATTTGATAAGTTCCCGTCTAAATCTGAGTTTTCCCATCCAACTACATCTATTTGTTCAAGATGGAACGAAAGTCTGGACGAGTTTATGAAATGTTTTAATTAAACTTTCATTCTAATACAACAAATATCTTCTAATTTAGATTGGATTAACCTATTTATGACTGAAAATCCTTACTTAGAATAACAGTCCAATTAAAATATTTCATGAACTCATCCAGACTTTCATTCCATCTTTAGCATCCAATTCAAATAAGAAGGGATACCTTATTCTTGGAAGGAAAGTTTTCAAGTAAGACGAAAAATTTTAAAATTGGAATGACATTTTTTAAGATGGAATGAAAATTTGATATTTAGAATGTAATTTTACTATAGAATGATTATTTAATTTTGGAAAATTTTCTTCAGCTCTTCCCCAAGGGTCCCTCCGAAGATTTTGAGACGAGCTTCCGAGATAGGGTCCCGTAGCCTACTCCCATCTAATTCGGCGAGCATGAATGCCCCTCCATCCAATCTCTTTAGGACCCTATACGGCCTCATTCATCAGTTCGCCAATTTTCGGCTCCAGGTCTTTTCTAGCGACGAATCGTACATTAGTACCAAGTCGTTAACCCTTATTGACGTCTTTCGGACCCGCAGATTTTTGTCCCACCTATCCTTTCCTCTCGCCCTCTCTTTCTCGAGACTCTCTCCCGCCTCGGTTAGCCCGACATCCAAGTTTTCGGCTATTTGCTGTATCCGTGCCTCCAACAGTTCGTCCCTAGTCATGTTAGTTTTCCACGAGACACTCGTCCAAGTGTCTACATGGAACTCTATGGGTAGGGGACAATGCCTACCGAACCAAAGGGTGTAAGGAGGGTACCCCGCACTGGATTTGCCCGTGATATTATCGGCCCAAACCGCGTAACGCAAATACTTCGGCCATTGTTCCGCGCGACCCTTGCACCATTTCGCTAGAGCGTCCACAAGCATCTAGTGACCCCGTTCTACCGGCGCATTGCTTTGGGGGTGATAGGCGGCCGTATAGGCCGCCCCTATTCCTGCCTTTTCCAATAACACTTTGATCTTCTGGCTCAAGAATTCCGCCCCTCTATCCATGACTATCTTCCCGATACACCCGTACCGCGCGATGTATTCAAGGAGAAATTCGCTTACTTCCTCGGCCGTTTTTTTTTTAATGGCCTTGACTTCTACGAACCCGGTGAGATCGTCGCGGGCGTCGATTATATACCGAAGCCCGCCGATCCCTTTTGGCATAGTCACTGAGTCCACATGTATCTTCTCACCCGGAGCGGTGGAAAGCGATGGAACTAGGGGCTCTTTGTATCGGGCCATCGCCCTCTTTTAGCAAACCTCACACGTCGAGCAGTATTTCTCGACTTCCGAGTATTGCCCGTCCCACCAATAGAGCCTACGGACTTTGTCGAAAGTACCTTTTACCCCCCTATGGCCTCCAACGACCCCGTCGTGTAGTTCGTCTATGACCGCCCTTCTTTCCTCCGGATCGCACAGTACCCTCATGGGAATTGCAAACTTGGTGGGTCTCTTAAAGAGATGGCCACCTCGCAGGCAATATCCCAGCGCCTCTTGCTGGATTCTTTGGGCTCCTGTTTTCCTACCAGCTAAATACAGTCCTATGTCCCGGTACTTTCCGTCGTAGAGATTAGCGAGAAAGGTCCTCGGGGCCCCTTCCTCTCCCCGATTGCTCACCGCTACTTGTGCTCTATTAGCGGCGACTTTCATTACTTCCTCTTCGGCCATTGTCTCCGCTTCCTCCATAAGCCTCGGTAGGTCCTCCTCACGAATGGTAAGTCGGGACAACCCGTCCGCGACCTGGTTTTTGGTCCCTGATATCCTCTCGACCCTATAGTCGTAAAGCCTAATGTGTATCATCCATCGAGTGATGGTCGGATCGGTCAGCGAGAAATCCTTTAGAAGGACCGCGACCACTGCAGTTGAGTCCACCCTTAGGAGAAATCGTCGTCTGTATAGGTAATGACGGAAGGCCTTCAGACAATTCAGTACCCCTAACACTTCCTTTTTGAATTGGCTATAGTTCCGCTCGGCAGAGTTCAAGGTCCTACTCTCGAATCGTAAAGGTCTCTCCCTCCCCTCTCCATCTTTTTGAGACAAGAGGCCCCCGACCGAGTTGGGCCCCGCGTCTGTGGATACTATAAATGAGCGACCCTCCTCGTCCTCGAAGTATGGGACCCCTAGGACTTGCCCTCCTTCACGGAATTCCTCTTTTAGCGCTTCCATGGCCGTGGCCTGTTCTTCCCCCCAAGCTCATCCTTCCGATTTCCTAAGCAGTCGTCCAAGGGGTTCCGCTTTCTCACCGTAGGCTTTTATAAAGTTTCTCCAGTAGCCCACTACCCCTAGAAACTGTCTTACCTCCGTTATCGACCTAAGCGGCGACGGCCAAGTCATCAACTTCTCCAACTTCTCGGGATCGGGCCTCCGCCCACCCTTGTCGCAAATGAAACCCAATATCTTGATGGACGACACGCCCCATCGACACGCCCCATCGACTCTTAGTTCCGCTCACCGTAAGGTTGGCATCGTCCAATTTCTCAGGGACCTCCTTGACATCGCTCATGTGGTCTACTACGAACTTTCTTACCCCTGAAAAGACCTCCGTCTCATCCCGTTCGACCGACCCTTTTATCGGGAAGTCATCAAGGAAGACCTCCACCTTCTCAGGTATGAACTCCTTGAGGACCGCAATCATTGCCCTCTGGAACACCGCCACACCATTCGTCCATCCCATCGGCACCACCATCATTTGGACCAACCTTAGAGGTGTATGCATAGCGGTCATGTGCCTGTCTCGATAGTCCAAGGGGATCTCGTCATACCCCGAGAAGAGGTCGTAGATCGAGTATATTGAGCAACTTGCCGACCCTTCCGCAAGTAGGTCCACCTCAGGTATGGATCCCACGTCCCTTATAGTGACCGCATTGGTCCTTTGGAGGTCTTGAATCCACCTCAGTTTGTTGTTGCTCCCGTTTCTCAGAAAGAACCACTTATTGGAGTAAGCACTCTCACAAGGCTCTGCGACAAACGTCCTGATCTTTTCCTTGATAAAAACCACTATCTCCTCCTTCTCCTTTTGAGCATATTTCCACTGGGGCCTATCCTTCCAAGGTACGTGCAGAATCGTGTGGATCCAGGCCGGCTTAGCGTACCTCGGGTCGATCCTCCCCCTCTCGGAGTCATCGAACGCTATGGCCTTATCGCAGCCTTGCAAGGTCATGGCCACGAACTCCCTCTCTTCTCTTGTGAGGTTGCCATCCCCTATATCCATCTTGGCCAACCGATCGGCCGTAATTATTTTCCCTTCAGTCTCCTTCCTTTCCTGGATGATATCGACAATCTCTTCCTCCGATATCGTCGCCTCCCCCATTCTATCCTGGCTGACCGCGGCGAGTTTTACTTTTTCCGCCACAGTTTTGTGCTTCTTAACGCCACCGACTAGGGGGATTCCTCCAAAAAAGACAACCTCACACATCCACCGAATTCCTCCTCCTCGTCCTCCTTTTCGTACCCTATACCGTTAATCACAATCCTGCCCCCGACATCTTCGACCTCCAAACGGTCCCCCTGGGTTCCTTATCCGTCAAGGGTGCCTCCTCCAGACGGACTCGGCACACCCTCGACTGGTTCCCCTTGCGTTTAGGAATGTTGGTCCGGTTACACTCATCTTGCGCGTCTACGGTCTTTAGGACCACTCGGATTCCATCCGGACTTCGGATCGAGAGGGTCCGACTTCCATCCGCCAGGTCTACCGTGGTAGTGTGAACCACACTCAGCCACGTTCCACCGAGGATCAACTCGGAGGAACACTTCTTTACCGAAAAGATTGGGACCGTGGTCTCGACGCCCACCACCTCAATCACGGGGCTATGACACACCCATTCTGCTGGTTGTAGCTTGTTATCTGCCACTACCATCGACATTGATACTCCTCGATCTATCTCCAAGCCTAGCTCCCGCGCGATGGAGTCCCTACACACTGTAGACTCGGACCCATTGTCTACTAGAGCCCTCATCTTCTTCCCACTTACCACTGCCTGAAGCTGGCCACTACCTAACACATAGAACTTTTTGGTCTCTTCACCCAAAAAAAATTTTGCCGGTAGTTCCTCCATGGGAATGCGGGAGAACTGTACTTCTTCCTTAGCCGAACCTTCTCCTGGCACCGTGGGTCCCCCGGCGAGAAGGACTCTCACCTTTCTCGTGATGCTTAGGAGTTCTTCCCTAGCGCTCTTGCTGGTTGCCAGGTATTCCAAAAGCGTACACTGCATAGGCTGCATGAGGGTTCTCCTAAAGGGGGCTACCGTGTCTATTTCATCCAAGGTGCATTTCATTTCGAACTTTTTAGGCCCCTTCTTCCTAGGCCATTTGGGTGAAGTGGGTTCCTCCTTCTTTTTATCTGCAACCTTGGCATCAACCATCGGTTGGTCGTTGTCGTCGCTCCTTCCTCCCGCATCTTCCGTCACACTATCTTGGCTCTTAGACGTCTCGGCCCCAACCTGTGTTCTCACCCTTAGACAAGGTCTCTCTTCTTCAGGCCGGGTCTCTATAAACTTGATGCTGGACACCTGGGGTTCCCTAATGGATATACCCCCAGGTGTCTCCATCATTTGGATATGGGACGTGTTGGAGGTGCCCCTAATTTCAGGTTTCTTCCCAAGCCTCGCCTCCTGGAGGGCTATTCTCTTGTGCACATTCACCTTCATTGAGGGGTAGAAGGAGACCGCCTCAACACCATCTCCCCACATGACCCATTTGTTTTCGTTTAGCTTGACCACCCCCAACCTTAAGGCCTCCGTGAGATAAGGACAGTCTCTTTTTATGTGACTTTCTTCATTACAGTAAACACACCCGCCGTAGCAACTGCTGGCACAGGAGGAGCCGGCGGTGGCGGTGCCGGTGGTGGTGGAGCCCTAATCTCAGGCCGCGACCCATAAATCCTTGCTTGAGGTGCTTCTCCCCACCTACCGTCCCTAACGTCCTTCCAATGGGAATTCCCCCAATCGGGGTCACGGTTCCCCCCTACCTCTTGGTCGTTCTTCCAGCCTCCCTGACTTCCTGACTCGTTTCTCCATCCCGTCGGTCGATCTCCCCACCGGGGACCGGGCGGACCAGGCGGACCCGGGGGTGGTCGATCATTCCCCCTAAGGCCGTCATTCTGCGTGCCACGCATATTGCGGAGTGCCATATCTAGGGTCTCTTGTACTCTCTCACGTCCACCACTCCTCCTGTAAAAACTACCTCTGCAACTTTCTCGAAGTTGGCAGAATTCCTCGGGGCCTTTTCAAGGACCTCCTTCCTCTTCTCCTCGGGCAGGTGCAACATAAACATTACGCACCTATCTACCTCCGACAGCATCCCCCTATCCACTAGGGCTTGGGACAGCCGCTTGAACCTATGGGTGAAGGTCACTAAGCTCTCCCGTTCCCCCCTTGTAACACGCCGCAAACCCTCCACGGTGGGGATCAAATCATCACAGGCGAAAGTCCGCAACAGGCTGGTCTTGAAGGTCCTCCATCGTCCATTTGTGGGGTAGATAGCCCTAATCGCGGGATCTACCTCCGGGTCAGAGTGTTGGATGAAATGGTCTTTCGGTAAGCATAACTTTTCCATTTCTCTACGAATCCCGTCACGTCTCGTCCGTCGAAGAAAAGCGCCTCCAAACCTAGGTTGACGTCGTAGTAGGGCACTTGTCGGTCGTCGTATCGGCGGAAATAGGGTCCCTCCATGGGCCCATCGATCGTCGGGTCGTACGGCTTGTACCAAGAGGGATCAGGCTCCTCCGTCTGTGACCGGGGTCTTGGCGGTCCCCAGGGGTCTTCCCCGTAGCGGCTCCTCTCATTCGGCCACTCCGTCTCCCACCGAGGATGGTCCTGCCCCCTAAAGCCTCTCCAGGCATCCACTCCCTGACTCCCCCCCGTTACCTCTTCGGGAGCCCATGCAGCATCCGATTCCCTTTCGGCCCACCTCCGTGGCCTACTGCCAGCCTCCGCCGACCTCTCATCTCTAAGGTCCCTTCTACTCGGTCCCCCTTCCTCTTCCCTCCTGGGTGGCCTGTACCCTGCCCTATCCCTCGAAAATTCTAGAGCCTCTCCCATTCTCGCATCCGGTATATCCGCCCACCGAGACTCTATAGAAAGGCCCCTCGAGCCCTCAACCACCCCTTCTCTCGCTGGTATTCGCATCCCCGCGCCAGCTCTTTGTCCTGCCAAAGCCTGCCTCTCAACGGAGACGGTCTCCAGGATCCTTTCGACCCATCTCCGTGGCCTGCCACCGACCTCCGCCGACCTCCCCTCTCTTAAATCCCTTCTATCCGGACCCTCTTCTTCCTCTTCCCTAGGTGGTCGATATCCCGGCCTATCTTTAGGAAATTTCGGTGCTTCCCTTGCCCTTGCCTCTGCGTCCACTAGGTCCGCCCACAGGGACTCGACTGGAACGCCCCACGCGGCTTCGACGATCCCTTCGTTTTCCGGCACCCGCGGCCCCACATCCCTGTGCACCCGCACTTCCGCGCTAGCTCTTTGCCCCTCCGAGGCCTGTCTTTCTCCTAAAGCTGTTTCTGGACCCCTCTTGGCCCTATCCACCGTTTCCGTTCCCTCGGTCATTTCTTCCACCACCCTACTTAGCCTAGCTCCTAACTCGGGGCTCTTCACTACCCCCCTTCTTTCAGCGGTTTCCGACGGACGAGAGAGACCAGCTTCCACTTTACTCTCCATGCACCCTGTTGGTAACCTCTAGTCGTTTCCCTCACTATCGTCTATGCTATCTTCCGAATCGTCTTCTCCTTCCGAGCCCTCCTTCTCCTCACTCGATTCCTCGCTAGCACTATCTTCTTCCGACTCCTCGCTGGTCACAGTCCACCAAGAGTCTCTCACTCGTTTTTCTTCGCTGGCGGCCAAGGCCAAGTTGGCTATTTCTATGTCGGAGATCTCCCTTATCCCTTCCTGAGAGCACCTCCTAATCAGCGCCCTATCAACTTCTCCAGGTTCTCCTCGAAACCGGGGTTTGATGAATTCCCCCACGAGTGCCCACCACTCAAAGTCTGTGTCTTCCCGCGATTCCCAACACTGGGTGAACAACTCGTGTCCCCCTTCTTCACCTAACGGGAATTTTTCAATCACTTGTCCCCTAGTTCGGACCTTTCTTACGGTCGCGTCGTCAGCGTAGAGTAGTCTGTAGCCCCAGGTCGGGATCTCCCAAGTCCTCCCGTGAGCCGCCCTTGGAACTTCCGACCTCCCTCAGTATTCTACCCTATCAATCAGGCGCTCTTCGGCAGTGCCTCCCCTCAATCTCCTCAACCGGTCCAGGGCCTTTCGGACGATTTTTAGGGGGTCCTTTCCCTCTGCTAATTCAGTCGCAAAGATTAGCCGGTCGTCGGGGGACAAAAAGATCTCTACCTTTCTAGTGCAGCTGCCTCCCTCGGACGCCATTGAGAACTTGACCACCATCTCCTGTCCGTAGATTTCGAAGAACTCGGTAGACACCACTCCTTCCCCTCTAATCCTAGGGAGGGTTACTCCATACCTTTCTCCCGTTTTCCAACCCCTTTCCAAGGTACCAAAAGGGTTCCCCCTTTCATATCTAATCATAGGGGGCCTCACCTCACGCCGGCCAACCTTGCGGTGGCCTCGATCAGTGAGTCGTCGCACTTAGCGCGACTGACCTCCCCTTCCTCACGCAAAGTCTGACGCAAAGCCCCCTCGTATTCTCCCGTCCTATCCCAAAGTCGGGTCTCCACAAGGTGTATCCTAGACGTTAGCGGGATCCCTAGATACCTAGAGTCTTCTTCGAATCTTCTCTCTACTTCCAGCAAAGGCTCTCTCCAAACTCTTGAGGACCTCTCTCCACTCGCGTTTCTAATGTGGACCGAAAAACTAGCTAGCATGGTCCAACTCCTCTTCCACAAGGCCAGCCGTCGGACCTCCACTAGAAATTCCTTTTCGGCATGGATCACCCGGTCCTCTCCCAGCTCGGGGTTAAGTTCCGCACCCCCTTCGATCTTAATCTCGTCACCGTCCTCGCAGGTCTCTAATTCCCAACGAATCCAATTGGAGACGAACGAAGCTCTCATACCCTCTTCTCACCGCGAGAGAAGATCTATCGTTAACTCGTCGAGGATCGCGACCACAGCAGTCTCCAGTAGCTTGATCCTAGCCAAGGACCCAAGTCTCGCCCTTCTTTCCTCCTCCCAACACAGAGTGAGGATCCGGAGAACTTCTTCTCTTACGCTCTCTAACCCCACAAGCTCGCCAAGGTCAGGCTCGCTCATCCCCAACTTTTGTCGGCGACTCGCAATCGCAATCCGGATGAGGTCCGAGGGGTCCAACCCCCCTAATTCCCCTTTGCAGAGCTTCCCCAAGTATCTCCACGATACCTTAGACTCCCTCGCGTGCCGGCCCCAACCTTCAAAGGTGTATCCTAGGTCCTCTAGAGTCGACCAGTCGTCTCTATAGAAGTCCTGAAAACACCACGTTAGCAAGGTGTGAAGGTCCGACCCGGTAAACCGGAATTGGCCTAGAATCAAAATCCTCCATCCTATCGCCCTTATGATGTCTTCGGAAGGGTAGATCCATTCAAAGATGAAACGGGGAACTCCCACTGGCTCACTGGAGGCAAACTGTGGTACCTCCTCCCATCCTCCGTAGGTCACTCGATACTCTTCTAGCCCCCTTCGTGAGGCTTCACGTCCCTCACGAACGCCTCTAACCGGTCTCTCACAGCCCTCGAGTCCCAGAGAGGGTCTTTCCGTGCCTGCTGGCAGCGCGCTATCTCTATATACCCTTCCTTTGAGAGGAATATTTGGGCCTCCCCGATCACTATTCCTCCCTTACTACTCACCGCAAACCGTACGAACGCCTTCCCGCACCGGATCCCCCCTTCTTCTCTTAAGAGGGTTCTTGTTTGCTCTCCCAATTCGCTCTAGGTAGTGTGACTGGGACAACTTCCCCGGAATCTTCCACTGGTGCTATCGATGCCCAGAGAGATCCTGTGACCCTCCATATCATCGGCCCTCAAAACCCTTTCGGTTGGCTACTTGCTCTTCCCCGAATAGGCGGGCGTACGGGACGTCAGCCACGTGTGCCTGAATTCCTTCAAATTCCCTAAGCCTCTCGAGTAAAGCCGACAACTCCCCTCTTGGGGAAACCCCCTTATCCACGCACCGCGTGTACAGCCAGTACAAACCCCTGGCCCGCACCCCGGACTCCCGAACCGCTCTAAGTACTTCTACTACTCGCTCCTCCGGGTCTCTCAAAAATGAGTCCGTCAAGAATTTGGGAAATTTCGCGTGAAGGATGACTGACGAACGAGGGACCTCACCGGGCTCGGCGAAGGACACGAGTGTCCACGACTCGAAAGTTCCTTCCTCGTAGTCAGCTAACACTAGGTTGTTTGCCACCAGCCTCGCGGATTCTCAATACTCAAAATGCGTAAGTTGCCCGGCTACCAAGCCCCTCCAAACTTCGGTCCACGCCTTCTCGCTGAAGAAGACTGTGGCCCGAATCTCTAAGAACTGGCCGAGGTCAGGAGGACCTCCTCTCTTCCTTCCAGCTGAGCTGGCGAGCTCTAACCTACGCGTACGCACCTCCCCGGATGACCTTCCCCTTCTCAACGCTCATCCAGTAGGGCGTCACTCTTGGGTCTCCCGGAACCAAAACCTTCTCGGTGTCACCATCCTCTATAGACTCTACCCCCCCGTTCTCGCTGAGTATGAACCTCACCATCTACTAACGTCGTTTTAAAGACCCACCGACGATACTTTTCAGGAGAGAGAGTGAAGGGCTTCTCTAGAGACCCCAATCTCCTGAAAATACCCCAAAGCTTCCTGCGGGGAGGGATACCCTGATCGATGCAGTGCGTATAGAGTGTCCACAAGGCCCAAAAGGGTAGCCCCAAACCCCTACCCCTCTCTAAAAGCCTCACTATCTTGTCCTCGCTTGTCACAGGGAACAGGAAGGACGACACCCTTACTGTTAACGGATAACTCGACCTCGGAATCTCTCTCTCCCCCGCGAACCTCTCCCTTTCTATAGGCACAAATGAAAAACGCTCCCGGACCCTACTTATCCATTCTCCTCTCACTTCTCTTGCTTCTCGCAACAACCTATCCAGCCCAACCCCTTGTCCCAGAACTAGGGGCACTATAATCTTTGCCCAAACCTCCGGGGCCACGAAGATAACCCCGGTTACTTCGAGACTCCTCCCAAGCCCTCGACCTTCAACTTCCTTGGACTCTATCCACACGAATTCCCCACAGACCGTGGACCTTCCCTCTTCTATCCTCTCCCAATCGGGGACCTCCCTGTTGCCAGGGATCAATCTAAGGGTCCCACGGCCTTCTAAGGAGGACTCTAAGAAGCGTCCCTGTCCTCTATCATGGAACACCATTCATTTAAAACATTCTCTGGGGTAACCCGAAGAATCTTCGGTATTCGTAGTCTCGTCCACCCTCGCGGTCCCGAGCCGATTGCCTAAAGATCCCCGCGCGAATCCTACAGGCCTTGATCCCGTATGGTACCGGGTTATCCACGCAATAGGTGTAGTACTAATGGAGCGACTTAACAGAGAGCTGCCACCCTCTCTCCCGTACTATGGACCGTACAGCCTTCTCGTACCGCTCCTCCTTACCGCTGATCCTCCAGAAAACGAAAGATGGGAATATGGCCTGGACGCACCCTGTGGCTCGAGGGTATTCCTCGTCTCGAGCTCAAGTAGCCCTCACCTCGATTGTCGGGCAGTAGCGAAGGGGCTCCGCCTCAAAAATATGCCTCAAAATCGAACCCACTCGAGTTTCCCAATGATTAGCACGGTACCAACCTAGGACCAAGTGAGTGATGTAATACACCCAAGCTTCCCTACTCAAATAGACAGTTCCTTCCGCATGGACCACCGTTCGTGTAGGCCTCTTCCCGTTTTGGGGCCTGTTCCTCGACCACCTACCCCCTTCCCAAGTTCCTACTGCGAACCGCGCCCACAAAAAAAAACCCTTCCCTAGCTTTAACCCTTTCTCACGACCCGCCAGATACCTTTCGGTGCGATGGTCTAAGGGGACGCTAAAGCACTCACTGTCCTTGCTTAAGTCTTCCCTCTCTATTTGAACCCCTCCTCTTCAGTACCCTCAATGATCCTAACCATCCCCTTGGACTCTCTCCTCTATGATTTGAACCAGTGCTCTCCACTCGTCCGAACTGTCTAGGAAAGCTTCCGGAATAGTGGGAACAGGCCTACCCCCACGCGAATACGTCCTACACCCTAACGAGTAGAAGTACTCGATCTGGTAAGCCCCTAGTAGTTCCCTCTCGAGTTGTGCGTGACCGACCGCTTCCTCCTAACTATCCAAATATCCTGCCTCTTTATCCACACCCTCTTCCGCGTACAAGGCTATGTCGAAATGGCCGGTCCACCAGTAGAAAGTATAGCACCACACATCCACCCCGCCTCGATCACCCACACTAATTCCAGCGGGTTCAAACTCTAGACCCCTCAGACTCATGGATTTGTTGTTCTTACTATTCTCTCCATAGTCCCTATTAACACTTTCCAATCGTCCGATCCGTCGAGATAAGTGTCTGGAATTACTGGCGCCGGACGACCACCGCTGGGGTAGGTTCGGTACCGTAAAGAGTAAAAATACTTAAACCCGTAACCCCTCAATTCCTCCCTCGAACCGCGAGAATGGCCTATCGCCTCTTCCCATCCACGAAGGAAATCCTCCCCTTGATCTAGCCCTTCCTCTACGCAGACACCCA